TAAGAGCTTTCCCAAAGCCGCTGTTTCTGAATAGCATCTTTGCACACACTGAAATGTTATGATACTATTTGCTAGAAATACTGCTAGCTAGATGCTGGAGTGCACATCCTGTTGCACTCTTGACATAGGTTGTCTTCATGCAGGTTGCACAGGCAGTTGTTGGGTCAGGTTCTGATACCAACGCTAGCATGGTGATGTCTGTGAGGTGGGAGAAGCCTTTCACTCTTCTGTCAGTGGTGGTAGTAGTGGCCTTCTTGTTGGGATCCTTTAAAGCCTCTCAAACTTGGAACAGTTGTCTTGTAATTGCAGAAAGCATTACTTGTGAAGGGTCCTCCAGCAGTGCTCATTTGGGTTCCTGGGAGTGATTGGTGAATAGAATAACTGACCTTTGAGGATTTATGCTCTTGAAAGCAAGTTGAAGGAAATGTCGGTATGATGACTTCTGTCATGGAGAAACTGCACCTCACCTCAGCTAGAATGTTGAAAAGTGCTGTGCCTGGTTTCAGCAGATGAAGACAAAGACCTGCTCTAGCAGTGTCTTTGGAAAGAATGTGGCAAAGACACAAGCTCTTCAGCTTGCTTTTCTTGGCGTATGACTTAAGAGATGGACTGAGTGCAGCAACTGAGGCTGTTGGAGCAAGCCATTGCCAGCCATGGCAACACTGGGAGAAGCACCTTCTGGGAATTGTTCATCTTTTCTTGTAGCTTTGAAGATTTGTTATTTGTATTTTTTTTAAATCAAGGATAATTCTTGCTTTATAGGGAGTAATTCTGAGAGAGAGTTTGTACGTCTCAAGTGTCCTATCATACCTCTGTGTTATGCAGCACCTTTTAGCTATATGATCTTGTTGGGACAGCTTTTTTCCTCAGTATAATGCAAAAAGAATTAGGTGGGACTTATTTTATAGTGATCATATGCTTATTTGTGATGTTGCTTTCCCTTTATACTATGAAAATAATATTACAATAACCTTCAAGACAATCCTAAATGAAAGTAAAAATGTGATTAAGTGGATAGTGCAAAATTACGGCTCACATTGAAACAAGTACATAATGATTCAAGCTAGGTATCACTCAGCTTTTTACTGGAAGTGGGAAAGGTTTTACTAAAGTTATTGAATGTGGAATACAAGTTAAATTGAGTTTATGGTACAGTTTAGATTAATGGATTGAGTGTAGGACTTGATCTCTTTTTAGGACTGTAGCCAGCACTATAAACCTTCGTGTTACTGGAGATGCAGCGTTTCTGTGTTCTACTCTGTCTTCCTATTCAGTTCCAAGAATATGGCAGGATTAAATGACTGTTTTGCTTTCTAGAAGGGTGTTTAATTGAAAAGCCTTCTGCTGACAACTCTTAAAGGATGTGAGATGGTAAAACCTTTCTGGAGTACTTCATAATGGAAGATCCAAATCAGTGGATTTCTCAGTGAAAAACTTCTTCCCACTCTGAGTTCAGCACTTACTTAGCTAGTATCGAGAAAAGTTCTATGTCCTGAATCTCTTCAGTGTCCACAGTTTTAATGAAGCAGTGGATGTCACTCTAGCCCTGGTCTCTTTAGGATAGTCCCTGACTCCTGCTGTCCCTGGCAGGAAAGACATTGTTTTGAAACTGTATACATTGAGTACCATTCTCAGTACTTGTTAAGAAGAGTAATATGTAATACTATGTTGCTTCAAGACAGACTGCTTTCTCACTGTGACACAACGTACTGTAATTATATAGACACTAACTCAGTCTAGATTTGCCTTACCTGCTATTACTCCTTTCTTGGCACATGAGTGCATCTTCTTTACTGCTGACTTCAGCAATGACTGTGATGTAGCACTAGCAACAGTATTTGTTCTATCGGCAGTGAAAATAGTACAGCAAGCTTCAATTCAACTTGTGGTGCATATTGCCTCGTTGATTTGTTAAGGATTCTGGTACTGTTTTGCCTAGTACATGTTATTAAGATGGAACTGAGCACAAAAGTAATATTGCTCTAATAATTTCACTGTGCTCTGTTTTTGGGGTTTTTTACATGTACTATTAGGATAGCTTGTAGATTCCCTCAGACTTGCAAAAATCATTGTCATGTGTACTTCTGTTTGTACAAGAAAAAATCCTGAAAGCTCTTTTAGACTTTGTAATCTCCCAGTAATTTCAAGTGGTCTCTCTGCACTTATTCCAAGTTTGATTAATCCCTAGTAAAGATGAATGATAAGAATTGAAAATAATATTTTAGATGAGATTTCATCAGCGCCTTGCATGAGACACTAATGTTACCCTATTCCAACTAGATGCATTTTGTGTATGTGTACAGATTCCTAGGATTGTTGGAATAAGTCACAGAATCATAGAATCATTAAGGTTGGAAAA